CTGGGGTGGAGGGGGACGGGACAGGAGACAGAAAACTCGCTGCAATTCCGGTAACATGTCGTGTCCATGGCTGGATGTCTCCTGCCAAGTGCTTTGGAATTTTAGCTTTGTGTCTCTCCAGGGATGACTGAGGCCTTTTAAGTCTGATGTTGTGAAAGACGATTTCCTGGTGACCATGAGACTTCCAAGGGGCTGCTCCGCAGAACGTGCGGGGTCCCACAGCTGGGGGTCACCCACGAGACACGGGGTGAGGAGGAGAAGGAAGCAGGTAGTTGAAAAGGTAATGCCCAGAACAGCCTCATGAGCAGGGGCTTGTGGGAGATGGAGGCAGGGATAGGAAGCAGGAACGTCTCTGAGAACTTAACTCAGAGAAGAAGCTCAACCCATCACGTATTTTAACACGTGCATTTAACAGGTGGGAAGGGCTCGGGGGAAGGCAGGCTCATGTAGATGTGAGTGAAGACAGCGTTTCTAACCGCTGCCTGACTTCAGTGACTAAACCGAGCCTGTTCCCTGCTGCTGATAAAGACTGAGGAACGGGGAGAAAGGAGCCAGTTATTGCTGGGCCAGGGAGCTAGAAGAGGCTGGGAATTCGGTCCAGGGAGAGGCAAGCTCGGCCAGCATAATGCTTTAGACCCGCCCTTATGCAGAGCTAGAACCGAGGCGCTCGGACTGCCAGGAGCAAATGGCAGGGCTGTGGCAAGAATAGGTCACCCCCACTGTCCCTCCTCCCTACCATATAAAACACCAGGATATCCCTCCCTCTAGTCTTGGGAAATGCAGGGGACGACGCAGGGAAGCTCTGAGCTCTGTGGATCACAGGGAGGGCATGGGCACGGGACATGGGGCAGGGTGGTGTGTGAAGACCTCACTCCTGGTTGACAGCACATCCTCCTGGCTTCCCTGAGAAGGAGAGCCGGCCGCCTGTGAGACTGGTGGATGGGCATCAGGTGGTAGGAGTACGTGACCAAGACCAGCAGAAGGAACACAAAGGGCCTCCGGTAAGGGACACGCGTACTAATCAGAGAGGAATTTAAAGAACCTAGGGAAGGATAAAGTCATCAGATCTTGGTCCAGATGCTTTAGAAGGGACTTAGCAAGGGAGTAAACCTGGAGAAGCTCAGCATGCTGTGCTGGGGCCCTTGGGTTGTGGCAGCATCCGTGTCCCCGGGCAAATGCTCAGGACCCCTCCCTATTCAGGACCCAGGCCAATCGTGGGCAACATGGAAGGCGACCCAATCAGAGAGGCATTCCAAAAGCCACATTCTTAGAGCCCCTGGAGCCAGAGCCGTGCAAAGCAGCACTGACCTGCCTCCCTGAATTAGGGAAAGGAAGAAGGACTTAGACGGCATAAATTCTACCCCAGGGCAGGACCCCAGGAGGCCCACAGATGCAGTGTGTGGGGGGGGGGGGGGAGGCGGGGGGGGGGGTACTTGCAGCCATCAGGGACATAAATGTCCTCAACGAGACCCTCCCCCTCAGCCCAGTGAGCTGGCTGCCACCCACTGCCATCCCAAAATGTACTCAGACTTTCTAGTAACCATTTACTCACCCAACTGGTGGGTGTTGTAATTCATGCCAAGAGAGTACACAGACATGAATTTCTCATATCGACTCTCTACATAAATGTTAAGACAAACCAAGGCACTGGCTCTGTCGATTTTTATACAATGCTCACAAAATAGCACTAACTTCCTGAGCACAAAAGATTGGGCTTGCATGAATCTTTCAGGGGATACAAAGGCATTTCTGTAAAGCTGTGACCGGCATGAGACTAAGGAGGACGTTTACAGGTCCTCAGGCAGAAGGGAGGCTGGCTAGCTTTAGAGTCTGGAGACTGGGTGTCGCTGAAACAACCAACATCGTCTCAGCGCCTGCTCTGTGGAGGCCCTGAGCCGGTGGGCACCTTGATTTGGGGAGGGGTGTAAGAAGGATGATGGCTGATGAGCACAAAGAGGGTAAGAAGTCATCCCCCTGCCCTCAGAGATCTGAGCAGGGAGAAGGTAAGGTGGGACCCATATCCTCAAAACCCAGTGTAGCATCATTTCAAAGCACCATGTGCCACAGGTGTTGAAAGAGGTCAGACCTGGGGCAGAGAAATCAGGACAGCTTCGTGCTCCTTAGGCCTGGAAGGTGGGAGAATGATTGACAAAGCCCCGTGTGCCTATTTACTTTATGACCTTGTTTCAAGGTCACATCACAAGCCTGAGATTCTATTTCATCTGCCAAGTCGGGATTGATGTCTCCTTCCCACTTTCAGTTCCTTGGAAAAGCAGGTCTCAGTGAAAAGCCGCGTACTATTATTACCCTCAGGCAGAATGCCAAGAACAGAGCTCTGAGGTCTTCCGCCCCCAGCTCGGAGCCCACAGCTCTGGCCAAGTGCAGTCCCAGCCAATCTCCAGAGCGCTGGTGGGAATGTGTTTAATGGGAAGGCACTAGCTTTGAGCGAGCCCCGAGAATACCCATCATAAAGCCATTGTCAAGCCGGCACTCTGCAGAGCCCCGCACCTGACCTCCATGGGGCACACCAGGGGGTATCTGGAGATGCAACAAAATTCAATCAGAGATGGTGGTGCCTTCTCAAAGTCCTAATTTTCTTTCAAGGCCAGCCCCAGTTTGACCTCAATCCAAGCCTTCTCATTACCACCCAGACCTGGACTGACCATGGCTTCTGCATCGCTCCACCAGCCTGCCTGTGTTCCCGTTGTTATGTACCTGCTAGCTTCCACCATAAGCCCTGAGCCCGCTCTGTGCAGGTGCCCAGCACAGCACCTTACACTTACCAAGTGGCCACTAAATGTTGCTTGGTTAAAGATGACAAGCTTTCTCTTCACCAGGCAACCAGAAGACCTTTCTGAAATTTTGTGAAACTTTCAAAGAGTGCTTTGAAGTTCCAGAAAAGATATTTTGGAACTGGACAGTAGTCCCCACCCCAGCAGCAGGGACAAGTTTCCTGCGGGGCTGTGAGAACTGGATGGTGGCCCTCAGTCCAGCACCATAGGGCAGAGTTGAGGGCCCGTTCTTCAGGCAGCGCCAAGACATTTCAGGAGCCCAGAGGTGATTTGATTTTCATTCTGCCGTTGCGACCCCAACTCAGCCGTCCTCACCCCGTGTTGCAGCCCTGTCCTCCATCGTCACCTGCTCTCTCCCTCAGACCCAGCACGGCAGCCTGAGAAAAGTGCCCTGTAGGACCTGGCCCTTCATCCTGGGGCAATTCAAACGGAGAATATAAAAAGCACACACCACACATACCGACGGCTGCGTTTGGAAAGGTCCTGTGATGGAAATCTAAAACTCAGAACTGAAAGAAAATCTCACCTGTAACCACAAAGAGATTCAGTCTGATTCAGTGGCTTGGAAACTGGTGTTTGAAAACACCCCAGCTGGTGAGCCAGGAAACTTCTGCCCTCCCACAGGCTGTGGGGCCAATTGTCTCGCTCAAACCCACTCTGGGTGGAGAGGATATAAAACCCCAGGAAAGGGTATTCCCCTCTCCCCCCCACAACCCCTCGGGCCACCTGAATATTTATTTCCAGGGAGAAAAAGTGGGTAGACCACACTGACAAAACAAAGGGGTCTTCTTGAACCTCCCCAGCATGCCTGTGGGTGACTCCGCTGTCAGCTGTCAATCTCCTTTACCCAACCTTAGCTTTCACCAAGGCAGGCTTTGATCACCCTCCCTCCACTGCACCCACCTGGCTTTCTATTTGTTTATTCCTTTACTAAATAAATGCCCTTGGGATGGTGCTAAGGAATGGTTAGCCAGAGCAAGCCTGGAACCTGGCCAAGAACCAACTCGAGATACAAACACATGATCCATCAGAAGAGCAAGGCTTTGTAGTTCCAGACTCAAGTCACCTACTCAGTCTGAGCCTGTTTCCTCATCCATAAAACCAGAATTCCCCCCTCAGGGCTGTGGTCAAGAGGGAATGAGGCACTGGCGGGGTAGTTCAGTTGATTAGAGTGTCATCCCCATACACCAAGGTTTCGGGTTCGATCTCCAGTCAAGGCACACACAAGAAATAACCATGGATACATAAATAAGTGGAACAACAAATCAATGTTTCTCTCTCTCCTTTTTAATCTCACTATCATCTGTACAGTGCATGGCCCATAGCAGACATACAGCTAGTATCTGCTGAATGGGCCCATCACCCACCCCACCCCCCATATTTCTTCCCCAGTCCAGCTACCCACACAATTTCCCTAGCCCTGAGGTCTTTCCTTAAAAACAGACTCCTAATGTAATAACTTAGGTGCTCTCCTCGGAAATCTGCCCCACAGGTAACCACAGGGGTCCCAATGCCGCTGTCAGCGAGTGGAGGAGCAACATGGCAGGTCAGAAAGAGCGTTGTGCTGAGAATCCAAAGCTCTACCTTAGGCCACATTTTTGGTCCTTTATGTATTTTAAATCCACCACACAGGACAATTTCTAAGCTAGATCCCAGCAATGGCCCCTGAGATAGCCTCTGGCTGGGGAAAGCTCTCTTCAATTCTAAATAGTTTGAACATTAACTCTGTTGGAATCAGTTGGTCAACCATCGTCCTGCGGAAGAAAGCAGCCTTTGACACAGCTATTCCTCCACCACACCACCCTTCCCCATTAGCTGCCCCTCAGAGCAATGTTCCCACTGCCCAAGGCCAGGCTGGGAGGGGAAGTTCTGCCCGAACTGACTGCGCAAATTACTTCCTCCACAGCCGCCAGGATGACTAATTAATAGCATCAGCTCATGTTTGCTGAATCCTTACTGTGTCCCAGGTTCTATGTGTGCCTTATACACATCCTATCATCATGGTGAATCTTTACCACAATTCTATGAGATAAAGAATATTGTTGCCCCATTTTACAGACAAAGAAACTAAGGCTTATTGGCAGTAGGGGACTTTCCCAAGGTCACACAGCTCTTAGTGGCAGTGGGATGCAGAATCAAGTCTGCCACCAGGCCCAGCAAAAGCTACTAGGCTCTGCAGAGCTAGAAGGAACCCAATACTGAACTCACCTGATAGGAAAGGCCATCCTTTCGGGGGTTGAGGCCAATCTCCTCCATGGATGGGGTGCTCATCATCACCTCAGTCATCTCGGCCGATCTCAGATAGTCAGGGCTGCCAAGAAACCCAGACCAAAAGTCAACAAACACACACTTTCACATTCCTCCTCTTGGTGCAGTCTGCTGCTAGATCAAGGGAGTGTCCGGAGGCAGGATGAGAGGTGTTCAAAACAAAACTCACAGAAAAACAAGCTCACACCCCGAGGAAGTGCCTACAAGGCCAGAGCATGGGGCTCTCAACCTTGATCAACAAAGCCCATTGTCTGAAAACCTCTCTGGCAAACCTCCTCTTCCCTCCTCTCCGGTACTAACTAGTCTCCACTGGCTCAGAGGGACTGGGTTTTCTTTTAAGTGACAGAACTAGAAAAAAAACAAAACAGTAGGTAGCTGAGCACATCTGTCTATATGAAAACCAATTCAACCCTTCTCCTGGGGAAAGGCATATTAGAGTTACATAATAATAACAGGTCAACCTCAGGGAAACCAAGTCCAATAATACTGCCTTCCTAAATCTCTCTCTGGTGTTGCTTTTTCCCCCCCAAAAAATGTCCCACTTAAAGCCCCAAGGGGTCAGCTTTCTGCAAGCTTCACATCTGCCATCCAACCCCCTTCTCTAGCCACAGCCACAGCAGCTGCAAGCTCACAGCTTGAAAAACATCCCTGTATTTTTTTTTAAAAAAGCCTTAAGGATGCCCGGACTCTGATCGCAAAGGAAATTTCCAGAGGGGCCAAGCTGGCCCACCAACGGCAGACATGTAAAGTGCTTTGTACTCTGTAAGCAGGATACAAACATTCCATTATCCTCACACAAGCCACGGGCACACACAGGGGCCCGAAAGCAGAGTGCCAAATGGTACCAAAGTCAATGTACTTACTACACAATACCCAATATTTTCATGCCTTTACACATAGTTTTAAAAAATCATTAAAAATGGAACGGGCTGTAGAGAGATTCTGTCTAAGGAAACAGGGGTACCAGATGCTTCTTCATTTTATGGATACTATAGAATAGCAATGACATTGGATTTGAGAACAGACACAGTAGGTTCTGGTCCAATCTCTGCCACTCAAAAGCTGTGTGATCTTGAACAAGTCATATGACTTCTCTGAGCCACAGGCGCCCTGTGTTTCTGTTACCAGGATGCTAATAATGCATATCTCACAGTTATGCTGAAGAGTTCATCTGGGTTGGGGGTGGGAAGCGCTCATCAACTATAAAATAACCCCAAATCTTCATGTCTCCGGGGATAAGAACCCCGATGAGCTCTAAGGGGTTAGAGCCTTGGCAAGTTTTAGTGGCCACGGGCACAAAGCCTCCAATAGCCTTCAGTCTCACCCATATGACACCTGGCTGCTGACACCCACGGAGGTGGTAGGGAAGGGGAGCCCCGAAGGAGAGGGGTCTAAGAGAAGATGCTGGGATTGGGGGCAAGTTTTGGGTCAGGAGCGGGAACTGCAAAGGCATTTTCCTCCTGGGTCATGGAAAGACTGCCGCCGGACAACCCCACCACCACCCCACCCCTCACCTCCCCCCCCCCCACCCCCTCCCCGGTCCCCAAAGAACTCGGCCAGAAGAGCGAGAGCGCACAGGGCTCTCTCCAGGCTCTTCGTCTGGCGTAGGGGCGCTCGCTCCTCGCGCCGGCCGGGAAAGTTGAAGTCAGAAGCATGAACTTTCTGGAGGTGCCTGGGCTGAGCAGGAACGCGCCGAGCTGGTCTGCCGTCCGGGCTCTCTGCGCCTGCACCTGAGAGCGCGCTCCGCAGCCGCCAGCGCTCGCACCCCGGCCGCTCCTCCTCTTCCCCGGAGCAGGAAGGAAGGAAGCAGCAGCCGGCGCAAGTCCCAGCGGCCTGGGGCCTCGCTCCGCAATGTGCGCATCCCTTCCAGCCCAATCCCAGGTCCAGTGCAAACCTCCGCTGCCCCCTGCCCGGCCCTGGCTCCTTCTAACCGGGCCGGGGCGGGCGCCTCCTCCCCAGCCAAGCCCCCACAAAAGCGCGTCGGTTTTTAAGGGCTATGGAGAGGGAAGGGGTCGGGAAGGTGCAGCGTGCGCTCGAGCTGCTGCTTGGGGCTTCAGACAGGTTACGTTTTCCCCCCACCCCTCCGAGACGGGAGAGCGTTTCCCCGCACCGCACCGAGCTCTGCAAACGCCGCCTGCACCAGCTCAGCCCCGCTGCCGCCGGCCTCGACGCTAAGACTTGAAAGCAAACAAAAAGAAAAAGGGGAGGGGCTCGAGAAGAGCAGCAGCCCCCAGAACAGGGCAAGGCTCCTGCAGCCCTCCCCACAGGGAGTTTTATTAGCAGGGTTCAGACGTGACCCCTGGTTCTCCCCCCACCCCATCACCAGCATGTATACACCTTCCCAGACGCCCCTTAAGAGAGGGCTTTGAGTTCACTTCCTTTGTCTCTATGCTCTCAGCACCACCTCCCCCCACCCCCATCTTTGCAACCTTGACGTTGACTCCTGCACGGGCTTGGGCGGTGGGTTAGTGCCACGCCGCCGGCTCCACTCGCACCCGAGCTGGCACGAGTAGGCGCCCGGACCCCGTAACCACGGCCGCGAGATGGATGCCCGCCGAGGGCGCAGGATACTCACCAATGAATGGGGAAATATACAGACATGAAGTCCTAGGGGAGGTTGACCCACGCCCTTGTGATTTAAAAAACGGTCACTGCGTCCCGAGTAAGGATGGCACGGGCGCAGACAGGCCCGGCAGGCGGGGGCAGGCGGGGAGCAGGCGGCGGAGTGCGGGCACTGGGCGTCCGCGGTCCGTCTTCCGGAGACAGCCCCACTGCCAGCTGCCTCGGCAAAGCAGACGGAGCTCAGGATTCTCCACTGAGCTCGCGGCCCCACAAAGAGCCCGGGAAGTCGTATTTATAGGGGCGGAGGCGGGGCCCGACCCCGAGAGGCCCCGCCCTCCCTCGCCCACTCCTGGAATAACGTCACCAAAATCATGAATGGCTTCAGTGCTTGCAGATCCCGCGGGCGGCAGCTCGGGGGCGCGCTCGGCTCTGCTCCTCGAGGGCCGTGGTTTGCTGCAGCTTCCAGTCCGCCCCCCTGCCCACGACTCATACAAGCAGGCACGCGCGTGGATACGCGCGCGCGCGCACACGCACGAACGAACTGGGGCTGGAGTTCAATGTCAATGCCGCCTCAAGCTTACAAACCAGCCCGCGTTGGCGCCCCCTCCCTGCACTCACCCCTAGGGACTTGGGGTCGCGAGGACCCTGGGCCTGAGGAGGGCGCTGGACCCGCTCCTCCGGACATGACCGCCTGGCGACCGCGCTCGCGCGCTGCGCTGAGGGAGGGCGCCATCCCTGGATCCTGGCCGCCCGGCACCAGCGCTCTCCTTTGCACTCACTCGCCGCCCCCAGCCCACACCTCGGACCCTGCTTCAGCGTCCATCCCCCAAACTAGGCCTCTCCTTGGCATCCCCGCCTGCGGCACCTCGATCGCTGGTCCCCTCTATCCCTGGCAAGCTGTGTGGAAATGAGAACAGCGCTTAAAGAAACACTGGGAGGTGGGAGGGGACACGGAGCTGGGGGGAGCCCGAGGGGGTCGCGCTAGCGTTCGAGGGGCTAGTCCTGAGATCCGTGGTGTGTTTTGTTTGTGTGAGAAAGAAGTGTCGTCTTAGGGTTTTTCCACTGGACACACACAGACACGCGCGCGCGCGCGCACGCACACAGCAGCGGCGCGGTGCCGGGTGCGGGGTGGGTGCTGCTCAGCACACCTCACCAGCCTTGGCTCCCAGATCTGCTCCAAGGAGAAGAAACAAAGAGCTTCGGCGGGACCCCTCCACCCTGCCCTGGAATCGCAACTCCCAGGGTTTGTCCAGGCAGGCAGTCCGCACAGCCCCAGAGCCGGGACGGGAGTCTGCCCCTCTGCGGCTGGTGTGCATTGCTTCATACCTCTGCTCCCAAAACTCCTGTAACATGGCTTTATAACCCTGACCTATGTGTGTACTTGGAGGACGTGTGTGTGTGTGTGTGTGTGTGTGTGTGTGTGTGTGTGTGTGACGGAGGGGGGGGGCAGGTATTAAAAACTTAGCAAATTAAAATGCGCCTTAAAGTCAGCCAGCTCTTTGAAAGGTAGTGAATGTATTGAATCCATTTATATGCACTTAAAGGTGGAAATGAATAATCTATCTCAAGTAGAGGCTGATAGGTATAATGGTGAGGGCACAACAGAGGTGTAATTTTCATCAGACCACCTCATCTATAAGAATGGATGAGTGTTAATTATGTATATTAAAAAGAATGGATAAGAATAAATAAAAATAATTTTTGCTATTTTTAGTCATTCATATATACAATCTGAGTAAAAACTGTACTTTCTAGGAAAACGCAACTTCAAGACAAACCCCCTAGTCACTCCCTCCCAGCAGTGAAATTCAGGAGCTTCTCCCCACCCCCTACCCAAGAGTTAAATCAGAAATTGACTTGCCCTGCCAGGTCCCACCTGCATTCTGCTCCTCTGGAGGAGGTGTCCTGCTGGAGGGCAATGCTTCTATGGACAGGAGCTGATGGGGGAGGCTCCAGGTGTGGGCTTACTGCTGGGGACCAGCTGTTTGTGCCTTTTGCATAGGATGGGGCAGCTTCTCAAAGGCTGGGTATGACGCTGTCATTTAAGCAGGTAACCAAAGGAGAAGCCAATGGTTTCTAGGCTGGGACTCTGGGAGCCCTGAGCTAGGTCCTGGGCAAGCAGCACTGATGCCTCTTGCCATGTCTCCCCAGGAGCCATCCCTGGCAGGACCGGGATGAAAGAACTTATCTCACGACTTTCACGTACCAACAACCCCACATTGTATATTTGTGATTATTGCTTTGTGAAACTCTCAAAACTCGGAAAGAGACCCTCCTCACACACATATATAACCTTGAAGTGTCAAAATGGCCTCATATAGGAGCAGAGGGTGGGAAGTAAGACCTCCATCAGCAGATATCTGGCCTCCGGAAAAAACCCCTATATTGGAGAACACTGAGGTGCCTACCCTAAGGGAAATGTTGTATTAATGCCCAGTTTTTTGTTTTGTTTTGTTTTGTTTTGTTTTAAATATATTTTATTGATTTTTTACAGAGAGGAAGGGAGAGAGATAGAGAGTTAGAAACATCGATGAGAGAGAAACATCGATCAGCTGCCTCCTGCACATCCCTTACTGAGGATGTGCCCACAACCCAGGTACATGCCCTTGACCGGAATCGAACCTGGGACCTTTCAGTCCACAGACCCGACACTCTATTCACTGAGCCAAACCGGTTTCGGCCTTAATGCCCAGTTTTAAATAAATTAAACCAAGCCTTGGGCTGTGACCCCCAAATCTACACTTTCTGTTTCCCTTCTGAGACCACAGTGACACATCCATTCATTGGAAAACACGGGAGGCATGGGGCTGAACTTGGATACAACTATAGCAAGTATGCCATTTCTTAATCATAATACTTTATATAGTGCCCTGTGGTTTTTCAAAGCATTTTTATAAGCTCGGTTCTCTACCAACATAGTAAGAGTAACATAGCACAACGAACAGCCCCCAGTTTACAAATATTCACACTGAGGCTGAAATAAATGAGGGGATTTGCCAAAGGTCACAGAGCTATCCTGTTACGTTGTTCTGGGTTACAGCATTTCCTTCAGATTTTTAAAGATAGGGGTATCGGTCACGCAGAATGGCCATTCCTTCTTATGTCCTCTGAGCTAGGTTCCTATCCCACTGCCTTTGAACAAATGAAGAAAAAGAAACACAAGGGAATGAAGTTACTGAGAGCCCCAGAAACTTAGAGCTGAAAGAGACCTTCCAAATCACCTAATCCAGTTTCCTCATTTTACAGGTGAGAAGACACCTAAGAGATTGAATGGCAGGTCCAAGGTCACCAGGCTACTAAGTGGTGTAGATGGAACCTGAACGCAGGCCTTCGGGGGACGGTCAAATGTTCTTTCCACCGCAGCCCTACATCTCGCATTGCACTTGCCAAGAAGTCAGCAGCAGAAGTCAAATACACGATCTGGACTCTCTCAACCACCTCAGCCAACCACCAACATTTAATGAGCATCTCCTATGTGCAGATCAATGAACTAAATACTCAGTTAAAGCCCTCTGCCTCCCACCTTTGTCCCAGGAACTAAAGGGTTGAATTGCAATTCTGCTTCAATAAAAACCCAAGAGTAATCAGAACTGCTTTGTTTTCCAACATTACACAAGTCCAGTTTTCCAGCTCCTTCTCTCCCTCACCTAAAATAAGGATTTAAAATAATAAAGGTACTGAGCTGGATATCTTATTAGAGTTACCGCTGGTGCCACTGTGCCATATATGGAGGACATGTAGCTAATTATTCCTCGAGTAAAAATGTCCCCATTAGCCCTAAACGGTTTGGCTCAGTGGATAGAGCGTCGGCCTGTGGACTGAAAGGTCCCAGGTTCGATTCCGGTCAAGGGCATGTACCTTGGTTGTGGGCACATCCCCAGTAGGGGGTGTGCAGGAGGCAGCTGATCGATGTTTCTCTCTCATCAATGTTTCTAACTCTCTATTCCTCTCCCTTCCTCTCTGTAAAAAAAAATCAATAAAATATATATTTTTTAAATGTCCCCATTAAAATTCATTTATCAACATGTTCCCACACCTTTTCTCCCCTCTGGCTTGCAAAAAGACAGTATTGCATTTAATTTGCTGAGTCGTGGGGCAACTGGTCCTTCGGTTAGCTATAACGAACTTCACTGAGTAACTGTTTGCCGAGGCACACCTATAGCTGTTAGCATGTTTATGCCTCACGACAATTTAAAGGCATAAGCACCATTACTCCATTTTACAGATGAAGGGAGAGGGGCTCTGAGACGTTAAGCAACTTGGGCAAGACTGCAAGGCTCTCGAATGGCTGAACCAGTATTTGACTCTGGGGCTTACTGGTTCTAAAGCCTTTCTCACAATACTGTACTTATCCTGGCCTCTGTGGTTTTATTTGTTTGTTTTAACGGCTGAACTATAAACTAGATACAAAAGCGTTCGTTCCAATCGCAAAGTCCAGAACTACTGGTGTCCATTATTGGGGACCAGTTAGCAAAATAATCAAATTTCCCACCCGGGGAATCTGGGAGCTTCTTATAGATATCAGTCAAAGGCCTGGGGTTTAAGAAGAAGAATAAGAAAGTGAATAGGAGAAGGGGCGTTTCTAGCCAATTTTTCGGCGAAACTTGTTTGAGTACATAAGAAATCTGAAAGGCAAGAATGTGTGTGGGTTGATGTGAGGCTGAAATGAGATAATGTTATGAAAACACTTGGTGAGTGGGAAAGCACTGAGCAGACACATGGCTTGTTTTTAAGGTGTTTGGGGGGAAAGAGAGGGTTCAGCAGAGTTGATAGCATCTGCTTCAGTGTTTCACTCATTTTAACCACAGACCGCCCCATTTTCCCCTGGAGCCCCTTGACTGAAGTTTCCAGCTTTGGGGGGACAGAGGCAAATAGTGAAGCTCTGCCTGACAGGCACCGCTGTGGTCCTGGTGTCCCAGCACCTCCCCTCACACCCCCTCCAAGTTCCTCCAGTCTCTGGTGCCTCCCAGCAAGTGTCCAGCTGGGTTCTGGACACAGGGTGGAGGGGCGAGGCCTGAGGGTGTGAGCAGGCATTCCCATCTTGGCTGTTAGGGAATTAGCAGTCCACAGCACGAAGCAACCCAAACCCACCGCACAAAATCCTCCAGGCTCTCATTGGCTTTGCTGGAAGTCCGCAGGCGAGTTGCGTGACCTCTGTGTCTCAGACTCCTAAAGCAATAAAGCAGGCAATAGACGTCTCTTTTTAGCTCTCGGGGTGCTCATAAGGCTGAGAGAAATTGCTTCTATAAATGCTCTAGAGCAGCGGTTCTCAACCT